CACACACATCGCAAGATCGGGAAGGAGATGAAAGGATGAGATTTTCGAAGGAAAAATTAAAATAAAGAAGAAAGGGTAAGAGGACGTGAGAACATAGACACACAAGCACGCACATCCACGTGGACAGACGACACGCAGACGATCATAGAGAAAATGCAAAGAGAGGACGACGGGACAGCGATGGCGGACAAGGAACAAGAACAAGAGGAGGAAGGTGGTGAAAATGTGGGACTGAGGTATAACCGGTGAAAAGGAGAGGGTGTGCTTCGGAACATCACAGCCGTTAAAAAGACAGGAAGACAGGAGCGATTACAAAAAGGAGAAAAAATAATCACAGGCATTTAATTTAGCAGACGCGCATTGAAGAAAAATCGCACGCACCCAAATTCGAGAAGTGGTCCAAATGCAGAGGAGAACACGCACAAATTCGAGAAGAGCCTTAGGGTGTTCTTTTGCAAAATATATGAATTTTACAAGAAAAGGAATACAAGAGGAGAACACGAAAAGGAGAGGAGGTTCCCAAAAAAAAAAAAAAAAAAAAAAACACGGAGAGGGGGAGCGCGGTTTGGTGGCGTTTTCACACCTGGTCTGCAACGGTGCTTATGGGGGCGCGCGGCCTACCCTCCGTAGACAAGAAAAAAATGCACCCCTAGCAGGACCAGCGATGGCGGAAACCCCCACCGTCCATGCAGATTTCGGCACTGGGGGGGGTCAGGTTAGGCCCTTGCCAGTTCTTTCGTTTTGTCCTCTTGTATCTCGATTGCGGAAATAAAGAGGTGGAAAAGAAATCCGCGTCCAATCTGGAAGAACTGGGGGGTCAGGGCCTGCCAGTTCCGTCAGATGGAAGGGTTGCCGAGGCCCGGACCACCCCCCCCTCCCCCCCACCAGACCTTTGAGCCTTTGAGGGTTGGAGGTTTCCAAAGCTGCTGGCTCATCGACGGACCCTGACGCCCCCCTTCTTTCAGATTCGAATTGGATGCGGATTTCTTTTCCACTGGGTTTGTGACCGCAGATGGCGCGTGCGTTTTTTTTTCTTCCTGTCCTGCCCTCTTTCCACCCCACTTGAACCCCCCCCCCCCCCCCCCTCCCCCTTTGGAAATTTGTCGAGACCCTTCCATAGCACCCTAACCTCCTTTTCGAGGATGCGGCGGTAGTCAGGTGTGTGTCTCCCTTCGCCCTTCACTTCACCTTTGCCTGCCCAAGAGCCCCACCTGCTAGATTTTATTTTTTGAAACTTTGAATTAAACCACCGGTTCCTCCTCAGGGGGTATTAGCCCCCCTACGCACAGTTTCATCCACTGCGTTTAACTTACCGCCTAACCCGCCCCCTCGGTACTGTTTTTTTTTTTTTTTTTTTTTTAAAGGGATAATTTGCAAAATACACCAATAAGTTGAGACATATGCCAAAATGCCCCTAAAAGATGTGGGTAGAGCGGAATGCCCCTCTGACAAAAGAAATGTTTTGTGAAATACCCCTGGCATGGGTTGGATCCCCATCTTTGCAATATACCCCTACCGGGTATGGTCCAACTTTGCAAAATGCCCCATGCCCCAGTACTTCCCTACTTTTCCTAGGCGCTATTGCAAAAGGCCAAGGCCCAATTGGGGAGGTCCAGATCGCAAAGTTGCACACCCTCCTGACAGGGGCCCAACACAAAGATTTCAGCCCAAAAGGGCATTCTGCTCTACCCACATCTTTCAGGGGCATTTTGGCATATATCTCAACGTATGGGGGTATTTTGCAAATTATCCCTTTTTTTTAACAACTCAATTCATTATAAAATTTCAACTCGAGGCCGGGGACCTCACAGGACCTCACAATTCATTCAACCCGGAGTCCCGACAGCATCAGCCAGCGTAGCTTACAGGCTTGGGCCTGCAGAAAGTCTCTAGTACCATCGACTTTCCAGCTTCCCACCACAGTACCACTGCCTCCAAATTGCCATGCATTGTGTGTTCCTCAAACTTGAATCATACTCAAGGAGCAGGGCTACCCTACCGGGCGCCAGGTCCCACTACCATGGATAAACAGATATATGCCGTCGTTCTCCGTTATCTACGGCCAATATCTCTTAATCTGCGCAAGTGGGACCTTGGCCAGGTCGTTCCAAACTCTTAAAGTTCCAAACTTGTGGAACATGTGGAACATGTGGAACTTGTGGAACACAATGTCATGGCAATTTGGACTAGAAAGCCTTAAATTACTTGTACTGTCAGCGTCTTGATATTGCTGTTCTGACTTGGAAGACAACAAATAATTACGGTGTTGTTTGCAACAGCGAGACACTCAAAGACGGAATGAGGGTAATCGTATGGGGGTGTTGTGGATGTACTACTAATTTACTTGTGGGAGTCACACGGCCGAGAGGACCAAGTCCTTGTTGCCTATTGACACTCTCCTAATGCATGGCCCACACCGACCCTAACCGGGACCGAGTGTCCGGGTCCCAAAGAAAAAGGACCGTTTCTGGAAGTACGAGTGTCATCCTTGCGCAGCAGGGGCCATGCTAATCTTCTCTGGACCGTTCCAATTTTAATGGATGTCCCTAAGGACACAGCTGGTGGTTTAACGTGGGGAGGGGTAGCTAGTAAGGGAAGGTGGCCTATCCTGTCAGGATAACCATCGGCTGCTGGTGCCAGCGATCGCCATGGGTGACGGGTCTAGTCCTTGACTCCTTGGCCTCTATAACACCCTATAGCATCCAGATTTTATGTTGAACAACAAAACTAAGCTGAAAAAGCTGTGGAACAGTGTCACAGTGGGGTGTGGTTTTCCAACAACAAAAGATTTACTTGACAGTAATGGGGAGCGTCTTTAAGTTTATCCCCAACACCAGTTGCTCCATGCAGGCAATAAAATGAGAGAGAATCATGGAAAAGAAGTGGTGCCAGGGAGGAGGGGAATGAGAAGGAATGAGATGCTGGTGGCCTGCCCGCCACGCAGAGATGCGCTGGTGCCCAGTCTTGGATGATGACAGACGGTTTCGTTGGACTTGCACCGACTCATCAGGAGGCTGAACCCTCGACAATCTGAGGAATCTCCGTATTTGATGGTTTGGGTCATGAACCTTTTGACCCTTGTTGAAGGCAGACTGTCCCCAAGCGGAACATAGCAGCGGGCAACAACTCAGTGATGCTGACGGAGAAACCCAACTGCACAACGCCGAAAGCAACTGCAAGGAACGACAGGACAAGAGGAAGAGCAGCACGGCAGCATCGCAGTGAACCACAAGGCAACACCAACGCAACAGCCACACTACACGGCACACCAGCAAGGAACCAGAAGGCATGACACGCGGATGGTCGGTAAGGCAGCAGTGCAGCAAAGCTCAAGGCGACACTAACACCACAGCCACACCACACAGTGAGCAAAACAACTTGAAAAGAATGACATGCGACGCAAGCGGGACGGGTAGCAAGGGAGCGGCAGGGCGCAGACAAGGCAGTCTACACATCCAACACGGAGCAAAGCGGCACATCACCTACTCACATCGCCAGTGAACCCCGCAGATTGTTGGTTCCCACCGCCTGCTGAGCCGGGGAGTAATTCCGACGAGCGTCCGTCATCACCCATGGAACACAGCCATCCTGAACAGAGAATGTCCCCTAATAGTGTCGTAGGCACTGCAAAGAAGGAGTGATAACTATTTGGCACTATCTGAGGGTGCTCAATTAGACGGCCAGAAATATTGTGTGTGTGTGTGTGTGTGTATACACTCAAAAAAAGCATGACTGTACCAGACTGTTTCGTCGGACTTTCACCGACTCATCAGGAGGTTGAACCCCGACAGTGTGCCCAGGATGCATTTGACTGATGGAAAAGGACTCACCACATTGCCCAGAGTTAGCGATACCCCTGAGAGAGAAAAGTGGTCGACTTTACTCACACCAACCTTGCAGTCCTAGCAGGCTGCCGTGTGTGTGTGTGTGTGAGTGTGTGTGTGAGTGTGTGTGTGAGTGTGTGTGTGTGTGTGTGTCTGTGGTCATGTTTACTATTCACAACTCCCCAAAAGAAACATGCGTATGTGACAAAGAGAGAAAAGAGAATGGGGGAAGGAAAGAACTAGAGAGAGCGATTGGTCTTCCTCATATCTCTCTCTGCCGCCCCCCTCCCTCCCCCTTCTCAGTCTCTCTCTCTCTCTCTCTCTCTCTCTCTCTCTCTCTCTCTCTCTCTCTCTCTCTCTCTCTCTCTCTCTCTCCCCCTCCCCCCCTCTCCCTCTCCCCCCCCCCCCCCCCCCCCCCCTCTGTCTCTGTGTCTCTCTCTCTCTCAACCCGCCCTCATCAACACTGGCTGGCTGGACGCTGACCCACACGGAAGCGCACACATTATTTTTGGAAGCTCTTCATTCACTGCCATTTGTGATGATTCAGCTGATCTTTGATTGGCAGTTGGTCAGCCTGTCTCCGTTGAGGGAATTTTGATGGCACGGCTTAGGCAAGACTCTGCTGATGATATGCTCTACTGCACGCATTCACACTGCCCTCCCGTAGCGTGTCCATTTTGTAGAGGAGGACTGTATTCGTGGTGTCTGTATAACCAACCATAGCTGCCATGCCTCTGCATACCTAGCTCGTGGAAATACCTGTTTGCAGCATGCCATCCTGAACAGTGCACGCCACTGCTGCTTACCCTCGCCTCAAGCAAATACTTCATCTTGTGTGGCTGCGGTCGTGGTCATATGCCTTGGACCCATGCACTCTACGGCGAGTCTACACAACCTCACCCATCAGCAACCACTCCCTTCACGTTCAAGCTGGTCTGCTGTGCTACCTTCTTCCCCCGAATAGAACACCTGGTCATTATCGCTGCATCTGGACTGAATTCTGTGCCAAATACAGCAATAATGACCGTACGTTGTATTCGGGAGAAGAAGGTAGTGAGAACCGAGTCTTTCTTTCCCCTCCTGTTCTTCCTCCTGTAGAAGCGGTACATGCAAATAAATGGAGCATCAAGGGTGCCAACGGAGTCGAAGGGACAGAGAAGCGAATCGGCATCTAGCAGTCGACTGCGCAAATGGGGCTGGCCTGCACCACACAAATCTGGAGCACAGGAACATTCTCTTTCCATTTCACTGTCACAATCATTTCAAAATACCCACATGGAAAGAGAAGGTTCCAATTTTGGCTTCTGCGAAATTGCACGGAAATCGGGACCCGGTTTCCAGCAGGTGCTGCTCCCCACCAATAGACGGAGCTTTTTTGTGTTAAAAAAAAAAAAAAAAAAAAAGAGGTGACTGTGACCAACTGACTGACTGACACCAACTGACAATCAAACGACCAATTGACCGACCAACAGTCATTCAGACAGACAGACAGACACAGATGAACGAACAAACAAACAAACAAACAAACAAACAAACGAGTAAACGAAGCAAATGTTTAACCCTACCTTCTTCCCCCGAATAGAACATACGGTCATTATAGCTGTATCTAGACTGAAAGATGCCTCAAATACAACTGTAATGACCGTTCGTTCTATTCGGGGGAAGAAGGTAGTCCTGATGTTGCCTCCCTTGGCCGCTCGACCCTTCTGAACATACCCTGCCTGGCCGCCATGCACATGTGTCCTGGAAAAAGAAGGATTTTTTTTTTTCAAATACCGCATATTATGTGGGTTGCTTGCAAATATCGAGGGGGATAGCCTGCAAGATTTATGTTCCACCTCACGGTCTCGGCATCGAAAAGGTGTGGCAATATTTGGAGTCTGGGCATGCAAGAGTACGGGTATGGATGGCATCACATACAAAGAACCTGCCGAGACTGGCTGGATGTGGAAGCATGCTTCCAGAAAAAGACAGGCCAGGAGCGCGAAGGGCATGAGGAAGAGCACAGGCAGAGGAGGATATAGAGCAGCAGTAGCAACAGCGGCAGGAAGACGAGGACAAGGACAAGGACAAGGACAAGACAATGCTCAAAAGGGTTAGCAACTTAGCAGAAATAGCATCGCCTAAGGGCCTTGGACATCACTTTGAGCAATTCAAGGAGAGTGTCTGCACACTGCACAGTGTAGGATGTTTAATTCATGTCCCATGAGGGCCAAGCCGAAGAAGAAGAGGGGGATGAGGACAAGGAGGACGAGGAGGACGAGGAGGACGAGGAGGACGAGGAGGACGAGGAGGAGGACGAGGAGGACGAGGAGGACGAGGAGGAGAAAGTGGGGGAGAGAGGGGGAGGGGGCAGAGTCTAACAAAAGATGTCACAGGCTATTAGAAATGACATCAGATTCTAAGCCTTACAGTGGTACGTCACACGGTCACAGAGCAGCAATGGGCAGCGTATTCGACCGTATTCGACGTATTGTATTTCTGTACCAAGTTACTACCAACACACCTCCAGAGTCCATACACCCCTCCGACCTCCGAGTCTACTTTTTACCATGATGCAGATTGCTGGTCATGCCTTCAACCATTCACACAATGTCATGTGTCCAGTGCTCTTCCAATTCGAATTTTTTGAAACCGTCCACAGATTCTGAACTGATAAACGCTTCTCGGCAGGGTCAGGAGAAAAGGCAAGCTGCCGTGCGCATGCGAACGTTCCAAATTCAATTGACGACTAGTACGTAGGAAGCACAAATCATTGAAACAGAACCCAGAGACAAAAAAGAAAGAAAGAAAGAAAGAAAGGAAAAGGATACCTACGTAAAGACTCTAAAGAGGTCAAACGACAAAGGGCATACTGAGAATTGTACATAATCGACTGAACCCGTGCCCCTACTAATCGTGCACAAGGACTGTGAGACTGTGAGCATAGCACAAGTGAGACTCAGTGAAGAAGGTGGGTAAGCACCAGTGAGTGCGCTGAACTTTGAACTTAAGGATCACGGACAAAGTGAAGAATGAAAGCTCCTCGCCACGTCTCAAATCTCTCTCTCTCTCTCTCTCTCTCTCTCTCTCTCTCTCTCTCTCTCTCTCTCTCTCTCTCTCTCTCTCTCTCTGCTGTCTCATTTTTCTGCAGAATTTTCTGCCTCGCGGATATGTTTCGGCTTCCTGAACATTTCCCAGTAATCATAGCCATCCTTTGAATAACTCCCACCTCGATTCTTCGACCTCTGCTTTCAATTTCCGAGTCGACCACAGGTGACAGGAATGAGCACAGTGCAAACAAGTTATTAACTTAACAAAAGAGTTGAAAAAACACAATGTTCCACCCCTTAGCCTAGTGGTCCCCACACACAAATAAAAACAGTAAAAAATACGCTTTCCATGTCTGATCATCGAATTAAGTGCGATGTACTGTGATTCAGAAAAGAATTTCAGTGAGCCAGTCAATCAGATGCAGTAAGCACACAATTCGCAGTCTGGACCTGATTAAATTTTCATTGTTTGACAAGCTCAAGACTTAGTTATAAAGCCACAACAGTTACTTGAAAGCCCACAACTTGAATATTGTACTAGTTGATCCGATGGAGAAGAGGGGTAACTGCTCATAGTTTGAGTTCGAATTTCGAGACTCAGTTTGATCCGATTTGAATTTGAGTTCCATAAGACCTACATACCTAGTACATAGACAGGTGAAGAAGTAACCACAACTGCCTAGTACCTTCGTTATCCTCTTGCCATTGTTTGTTAACGAACGAATGCCGACGCAGTAATGGCAACAGGAGGAGGAGGAGGAGGAGGAGGATGGAGGGCAGCAGCAGCAGCAGCAGGAGGAGGAGGAGGAGGAGGAGGAGGAGGAGGAGGTGCTTTTGTGTGCAGTGTGGGATACCATAGCATATCTCAAGCATATCAATGTCTATCTGCGTACCCTCGGTGCTCTCTCCCATGCCCTTCTCCTCCACCCGTCCTCTCTCACTTGGTCCTAGTCGGACTCCCTCCCCCTAGCTGCATGTATCGGATCTATACATATGCATTCTCTTTTAGCCATTTCTACATATTATCCCTTGAGGCTTGCCCAGTATATATCATCTTTGCCTGGCTATAATATGTCTAAGCCCAGATATCAAAAACTATTTTTGCAACCTCGTAGAAATATCACGGATGTGACGTACGACATTTCAGTTCCCATTGGGCCATTGGTCATTAGGCTCCCTGGTTTCTACTTTGATTGGTCATTAGGACCACTGGGAACTGAAATGTCGTAGTGGGTGGATCTATGTGCATTACATACAAGGATCATGGGTTTCTACTTTGATTGGTCATTAGCCTCCCTCGCTGAAACCGAATTGAAATTTGTATTCAAATTGTATTTAAATTTTAAAGCCTTCCTTCGACGCAAACAACATGATACACAATCAATCTGCTAGACTAAGTGCATCGCCACACCACTCCCGAGTCCCTACAGAATTAAAGAATGGGGTACAACCAGCACAGTGACTGCTAATGGGTGATGGTCCTGGGTGGTTAACACTAGGGGGGGTAGGACCTGTCTCTTATACACATCTAGATGTGTATAAGAGA